GGCTAATAATTCTTGAACGTCGAATATTGTGTAAGAAATATCAACACTTGAAAAAATTGTTTCTAAAAAAAATTTTAACTCATTGGGAGACAAATATTCAAAGCCTATTTTATTGCTACTTATCTGTTTGAGGATCTTGGATGCTGTTGTTTGTGAAAAACGTGGAATTTCTTGTTGATCACCGATAATATTCATGGGCGAGGGTGTTATTAAAGATTTTTCGTCATCCATTTGAGAATGAAACTGATTATGGAGAACATGAACGATGGATTTATTCTCCTTAAGAATTCGATCAGAATAATGTGCAAGACGGCGACTTATGTCTTTGCCAATCATTCTCGATACGCTATCACTGTCGTACGTGGATAGCGTGTGAAGCGTACGAGATGCCATCATAGTACCGAGCTCCAACACATTTGTTCTCGTTGATAGCGAGGCATACAAGCAAACATCTGTTTTTGGTGATGCAACGCAGAAATCGTCAAGGGGTACGAATGTGTGGATAATCCCTTCTACGAGTTTTGGTGAATATATACCGATGAGTTGAAGAGCAAAGCCTTTATTAGTATCAATCACAACATCGACCGTCGGCAAATCTTGCATTGGCACAAACGTAATTGTTCTAATAGAATTGATTGCTGCAAAGCATGTGAGAAGTAGTCGTGCAGTATCAATCATTTTGATTTATCTATAAGAGAAATGATAAGTGTGTGTTTGACAAAATGCTTCGTCGTATACGTGCTGTGAGGTCGACTATTGCGAAAGGAGGATCACCACAGTCAAATTTGCTTGGAGATGCGACAGTTTGTGCATCACATAGGAATCCTTCTCTATAATCCAACGAAATATTAAAGTTCAAAAGAGAGAGAGAAATACTTATACATACACATATTCTTGCTTGTTTGTCTCAGCATTAACTATTGGCACTCGACCTTTCCCCATTTTTCGATGAGCATCGGCTGCCGTCACGTCGTCGAGGCGTTTCATCATCGCTGTACAGTTGCCGATAGTTTCGACTTCGAACTGTTCAATGTTGTCATGACAAGATCTGAAAAGGATTGTTTATGAAGAAGACTTAACGTTGAAAAATATTTACTTACGGCATAGATAATTCTGTACTTGTAATAGTACGTTTTCTAACTTTGCACTCAGGTCTTGAGCATATTATTGTGCTCGAGTGACGTTGTTGACTTTTGATAAAGCAGAAAACGTTTTCATCTAATGATCCAAACATGCTCTTTGTTTGCCGATCAGATGTTTTCAAACGATTGTGTGTGAGCAGCCAATTAATACGCGCAGCATCCCACCCTTCTGTTTCGACCAGGTGAAAAGTTTTGTAAAGTGCCTCGTACGGTGATTTTTCTGAGGCATTGATAAGTTCTTCGGCGATGTTGAGATCAGTTCGATACAAGAAATAAAGAGCAAATAACGCCGAATCGACATTACACGTATTATTAATTGAGTACGATTGACCTGTAAAAAAGCAAGATTATATAATAGCAAGCATTGCAAGACAGCTATTTAATTCCTTTTGTTAAACTACCTTGAAATAGAGCATTTCGCATTTGAAATTTTGGCCATTTAACCATCAATAATTGTTTCCGATTGCGGTGAGAGCTGACAAGACGCGTTCTTTGGTGATTGATCGATCACTAGCGAGTCCGGAGGAGTTGGACCCGGTGAAGCGACGAATCGCCACAGCATTTTCTCATATTTAGCCTTGATGTCATATGATCAGGGTACTAATTAGCGATTTTCTCGTTGATGACTGTCAAAAGTGAAAAGTAAGATGCGAAGTCGATAGAGCGTGAGGAGTTCTATCTGGAGCCATCAATAATAGCGTTGGAGCCAGTGAAGAGACGAATCGCCACAGGATTTTCTCATATTTACCCTTGATGCCATATGATCACTAATTAGCGATCTTCTCGTTGATGACTCTGTCAAAAGTGAAAAGTAAGATGTGCAATCGATAGAGCGTGAAGAGTTCTATCTGGAGCCATCAATAATAGAGTTGGAGCCACTGAAGAGACGAATCGCCACAGGATTTTCTCATATTCGCCCTTGATGTCATATGATCAAGGTACTAATTAGCGATTTTCTCGTTGATGACTCTGTCAGAAGTGAAAAGTAAGATGTGCAATCGATGGAGGATGAAAAGTTCTGTCTGGAGCCATCAATAATAGAGTTGGAGCCAGTGAAGAAAGGAATCGCAGCATTTTCTCACATCTACCCTTGACGTCATATAATCAGGGTACTAATTAGCGATTTTCTCTTCGATGACTCTGTCAAAAGTGAAACGTAAGATCTGCAATCGATAGAGCGTGAAAAGTTCTATCTGCAGCCATCAGTAATAGAGTTGGAGCCAGTGTAGAAACGAATCGCCACAGCATTTTCTCATATTTAGCCTTGATGTCATATGATCAAGGCACTAATTAGGGATTTCCTCTCTCATGACTCTGTCAAAAGTGAAAAGTAAGATGTGCAATCGATAGAGCGTGAAGAGTTCTATCTGGAGCCATCAATAATAGAGTTGGACCCAGTGTAGCGACGAATCGCCACAGCATTTTCTCATATTTAGCCTTGATGTCATATGATCAGGGTACTAATTAGCGATTTTCTCGTTGATGACTCTGTCAGAAGTGAAGAGTAAGATGTGCAATCGATGGAGGATGAAAAGTTCTATCTGGAGCCATCAATAATAGAGTTGGAGCCAGTGAAGAAACGAATCGCAGCATTTTCTCATATTCACCCTTGATGGCATATGGTCAAGGTACTAATCAGCAATTTTCTCGTTGATGACTCTGTCAAAAGTGAAAAGTAAGATGTGCGATCGATAGAGGATGAAAGGTTCTATCTGGGGCCATCAATAATAGGGTTGGAGCCAGGGCAGAAACGAATCGCGACGTCCACAATATCAATCGAGGCGAGGGAGAGTTCTCTAGAACATAGACGCAACATTCATAGTACCTGGACGCTAGATGACAAACTTAATAAAATATGTAACCTTGGTACATGGTGGGACAATTAGAGAAAAGCTGTATCGTTATCATCAAACCATATCCAGGTTTCGAAAACAATCGGAACCTGGCAGTGCATGTCGCTCATCGGTTGGATGACAGCCTATGGGTGACTGAATGCAGAATACAGCTCGCCACAAGTGATGCGTGGTCTACTCCAAAACCCGGCCTAATGGTGATGGCAGCAAGTCAGGATGTCAGCGGCGCATACAAAGCGCGTTTTGATATGGCGTATGACTTCCATCATGGGATGTAGGCACCATCAACGGCACAGCTATCAGGTAGAGGTCTGCCAGTCCAGGAAGAGAGAGAAAAGACTCGAAGAGAACCAAAAGCGCTTATGTGCACATAGTTTTTGTACTTATATACATTAAAACCTTTTTTTTTAATAAAGGCTAGCAGATAGACTGTGTTCTTCGAACGTTTTGCGAAGAAAAGTCAATTGAAAATCAAATACGAACGTTTAGCTGAGATATTTGTTGAACGAAAAGAAGAACGGGATTTAACAAAAGTTATAAAATATAACTTTTTTTTTATATTCTTTCTCTTTTTTTTCTTTTAAAGTTCACGAATTATTGTAGTTCCCAACGTAAAGAAGATCCAAACGTCTCGATGAGCATAAGTTTCCGGAACATCCAACCTTCATACTGAAGCAATAGAGTGACCACAAGTTCCGTATGGACAAGAAAACGAAAAAGATGCGGTCTAAACCTGAAAAAACTTGAAAAATATTTGTTTTCTCTCTCCATTAGGAACATTGTGGCTTTACGGTTGAGAATGACGACGAGGAAAAGAAGGAATTCCTGAGACTGGTTGTTCGAGAAGAAAACATGAACTAACTATCTTCTAAAGCGAATGAGAACTCTTAACGTCATAACTATAAACAAAACGTTTAATCTTTTTAATACTTCTTTTCATTCTCATTATATTTTATGTAATAAAATATAATGAGATAAAACGTAACTGTTGCTGGATATTTATAAGGCTTTCATTCTGCAGGAAATACACGTTCTCTATTTCTTTTCCATCCCTCCTATTCATTTATGCCATTACAAATCGTTCTGCTAGATAGCTGATGTCGTTATGATACTGCTATAATCCAGTAGAAGATCATAACTCTCTTGTTTTTATTGGCCAATGTGAATTGCCAATCAGCGCTAGTGCATGATAAAACAGTAGAAACAGGGGCCTGTTTCTTGAAAAAACTTAAGTAGAAAATCTTACTTAAGTCAAACTTAAGTCCAAAAAAGTCTTTGTCTTTTTTGACGTAAGTAAGATTTTCTACTTAAGTTTTTTTAAGAAACAGGCCCCAGAAGGAAATAATGAAGACTGAGTATTCTCGTGAATAAGAAGTTTTATAAGAGAATTTTCGAACTCGTACAAAGTAAAGTAATACGTAATAAAATGAGAAGCAGAATGGTGAGACGGTGTTACACAATGCAACTGAAACGGTTAGCGATATTGCACACTGCAATACAACACGAAGAAGCAAAATCTAGCAAGAAGAGCACAGCTATAGAATATAAGTATATGTACAGTGAGAGGCTCAAATTAGTTCTCTTATGCATTTGGAACCAGAATTGACGATGAACGGTGATACTGTTTCAGTCTTTCGACGTGAATAGACGAAACAACCGCACCATCCTCTAAAGAAACCAGTTCATAGTCTAGAGGACCAATCTTGCGTGAAATTCGAAAAGGACCGATCCATTTAGGAGCTAATTTAGGAAGGGCCCATTTGCCTAAGGCTGATTCTGAGGTGTTAGCCATCAAAACAAGGTCATCTTCTTTAAACTGGACATCTTTACGATGTCGATCATAAAGAAACTTTCGTCCTTGTTGAGCAATTTCCAAATTTTCTCTGGCCGACTGATGTGCAGAGGCAAGAATAGCTTTAAGTCGTTCAGTGTAGGCTCGGACTTCTTCAGATGATTTTAACTCATCAAGAACATCCGTTTCGGGACCGTACATGAGATCGAGTGGTAGTTTCAGTTCTCGACATACATTAAAAATGCTGGACTGTGACCAGTAGGTTCATTTATGGCCGCTCTGATGGCCAGTGCTAGTTGCGGCAACCGTATATCCCAAGATTCTTTATTATGTTCGGGAAAAATAGCCAACATGAGCTTTAATGTCCGATTGACACGCTCAGATAAATTTGATTGAGGATGATAAAGAGCGGTCGTTCGATGCCGGATACCCATGATCGTTAAAGTTTCTCGAAAAACGTCGGCAACAAATTGTGCACCGTTATCGGAAACAACTTTAACGGGAATGCCACGACGGCAAATGACTTCGTCATGCAGTAGTTGACCGATATTTCTCGATTTAATGATGCCTAGAGGGAAAAATTCGGCCCATTTCGTGAAATAATCGACTACTACTAGGATGTAGGTATTTCCGCGCGGAGTTTTAGGTAAAGGACCAGTTAAATCAACTCCGATAGTGTGCCAAGGCGATTGTACTACGTGAGATTGCATTAAACCTTCTTTCTTTCGTTTGCGGCCTTAAAACGCTGGCAATGGTCACAGGATCTTACGTAATGCGCAACGTCACGCCTCATTCCGCCCCAATGAAAGCGAATTGCTAATCGATGTAGAGTTTTTCGACGGCCAAGATGATTTGAAATGCCTTCGATATTTTGAGCAAGAACGGCACCGAGTCCATAGTCATATGCATCTAATTGAAGCATAAATGGATGATCAAAATTCGGATATGTAACAATCGGTGCAGAAATAAGGCGTTCTTTTAATAGTTCAAAGCCCTGCTGTCGATCAGGAGTGAATACAAAAACAGGATTATGTTTTTCTCTGATCGATTCAAAAAGAGGTTCAGCAATCTCAGCGTAATTTTTAATAAAACGCCTATAATAACCCGTAAGACCTAAGAAAGCTCGTACATCTTTAGGTTTAGATGGTACGGAAAAAGACCGGGCCGCCTCTAATTATCTGGATCAGGTCGAATGCCGTCAGTACTGACTATATGGCCCAGATCTTCTAATTCCCGGCGACAAAAGAAACATTTCGATGGTTTTAATGTAAGGCCGCTTTCTTTTATCCGATTAAGGACATTATCAATGTCTATTAGATGTTGTTCAAAAGTTGGTGAATAAATTATGACATCA